TTTGTTTAGCTTTTTAGAGTTAAGAAAACTTTTAAGTTATTTACAGCTTTTAACAATATATTCCTGTGAACAAAATTTGGACCATATTTATTTCTCTCTACCTAATTTCTCCAGTATTTGGAAACTATGAGTATTCTCAATTTATGGCAATATAGTTACTTCCATAAGTTCAGTAAGAATCTGTTTTCTTTTGCAATAGGACACAATTGGAGAATTTAGTTATTTTACCAAGGCTTTGACTGGAATTGGTGTGCTTTAAGGAATCAAACTTGACTTATGAAGCCAATAAAGCCCTTGGAAAAACTGGCCTCATATTTTTGTGTACAACGTTCCTGTACAGGGTTTCTGACCTGTGGTAAGTAAAGAATGTCACCTTGTGACAAGTGCAGAAGCCCTGGGTTTATCTTGGAATCTCAAGAGGAGAGGAAATTCACCTAACTCATAGGTATTTGATGGCACAAATCCATGGCTGGGCTCAGCTTTAAAAAATCTTATCTGAGATTTCTCCTATGGAACAAAGTTCAATCAAAGCCAATTAATTAAAAAGCCTATATAAAAAATACTGTTGCTGCACAGTATATAAATAATTGGGCCAGGTGTAATAAAGCAAATCAGTCCCAACATGATTTGTCTTTAGAAAAATGGGAAACTGGAGAGAGAAAAAATTATGTTTCAAAACTACAGTAGACCTGTTGTTAGATTCTAGTCTTGCCTAAAGTTTTTTTTTTATTATTATTTTTATTGTTTTCTAGTGTTTGGACTGAACTCTTCATTTTTCTTGGCTACAACTCTTCAAAATACTGTTTTCAATTTTTTTCACTCAATTTTTCCTAATTTGTAGTCACTGAAACCTAAGCTGTGCTTTGTTAAAACCCTGAGAACTGAAGCCAGACAACATAAACTTCAGAAGAAAATAACAGCAACCTGTTTACATACATAAGCCACTTTCATACCTGCCTACTGATGTAGGGGCTGCAGAGTAATTGACGTCTTCTTATATCCTTTTTCCAGGATTGTTCTTTTGTTTGTTGCTGTTTTCTCTCCCTTTCTCTCCCCTGTTTTAACTTCACAGGATGTGAGACTTCACAACCCGCTGAAAGGAGCTTTTGGGGCCTACCCATCTAGGAATAAACTCTCCTAGCCACGAGAGATCAGATGAAACCCAAGACCAGAAACCCATTTTCTTGTAAAATGTTTTCTCCAAAAGATTTTTTTTAAAAGAAAAGGAGGGAAATGTGAAAGAAAAATTATTGGACCCCTAAAATCACTAAGGAAAACTCAGGCTGGAAACTGCTTAATGCCAGCCTACCTCCCATTCTATTCAAACTCACCCCTCTGGTCACTGAGATAGATGCATATTTGATTGCCTCCTTTGGAGAGGCTAATTAGAAAATCAAAAGAATGTAACCATTTGTGTGTTACTGATCTGTAACCTGGAAGCTTCCTTCTTGTTTCACGTCTTCCTGCCTTTGCTTCTAGTTGTCCTGCCAGAAAACCAGTATACATTTTGCATTATTGATTAAAGTCTCATGTCTCCCTAAGTTGCATAAGGCAAAGCTGTGCCTTGACCACCTTGGGCACATGTTGTCATGACTTCGAGAGTGTGTCACAAGTTGTGTCCTCAACATTGGCAAAATAAACTTTCTAAATTCACTGCGACCTTCATTGAATTCGCTCCTAGGCACCTTCATTGTGTCCTTTGGCCCATGTTTCTCTGCTAATACCTGTCAGAAATCATTTGGGTAACTAAAGCTTTGGGAAGTAATTTAAAATGGAAGTGTGTGATGGCACTCTATCGACTTTGTATGCGTAGGTACTGCTTTGGGAATGCGGGGCATTTCATTGTCCCGTGGGATTTTTAGTAGTGTGTGATGAACCTGTTTGAAAAACAAAAATTTCACATGATCTGTGTTTTTAGTTAAAAAGTGCAAGGGTTAAAATGCACTTAAATTTATAAAGAAATTGAAATATGGTACTGCAAGTTTATTCAAAGAATATTTTTCAAATGTACAAACAATAATAAAATCACACAAAGAAAGCCTTGGGCAATGTGCCACTTTAAAAATTATTATCACAACAGCCAAACAAATCCTTAACCACTTTCTAAATGGATTCATTTATACCATTTCAATGCAAAGATAATATCAAAAATACTAAAACAAAACCAAGAACTCTTCAGTGTCTGACTCATTTTGTTCCCAAATCTTTTCACGTTTAATAGTTGTATTTTGAATGTATAAGCTAAGAGTTTTAAATGTTTCTCAGATAGTTTATGTCTACATTTATCATACGAATTATATTTGAAAACTACTCTTAAGAACTAAAACTAGTACTTCAAACATTTAAAAATAAAATCATGACAAAAGTTCACAATTGTGGGTCCACCTTAATGTCCATAAATTACTAAAAAAGAAACCAGTCACATGTTCAGATACTTTTTCTCAGGTCTGAGTCTACCCTGATGTGTGCCAAGCTGCACCTTCAATTTGGCACTGATAGCCTATCTGAACACAATTTATCAGCAGAAAACTGTAAGTAATTCTAAAAACCTTTAGCCATTCAAAACCATCATGTTTCATTTTCTTTCCTAACATGCAATTCCGTTATTCCAAAGTCATTTGGGTGTTGCAAAGAGGTGATTTAGGTGACTGGTACAAAGTGAACCTTATATGAAAACTGGTTAAGGATTCAATGCACACTAGCTCTGAAATATTAATCTTAACACCAGACATAAATGGGGAGGTATGACTTGCACAAAATACTTTAAATTGCTTTGGTTACACTTTTCATGATATTGCATGTTTAGCTGCTTGCAGTGCAGGCATGTATCCTCTTTGCTACATCATAAACATAGGTGACGTCTGGTCGCTTCTCTGGATCTGGGTTGATGCACATATTAACTAACTGTCATAGTTCTTCTGAATAGTGATATGAAGGAAGAGGTGAGTAGTCACACTGTTCTGTCTTCTTACACAGCGAGTATAAATTCATTTTGTCACCATAGAAAGGACTCTAATGCAGCCATCTCATATAGTAGACAGCCAAGAGGCCAGATGTCAGATTTGAAGTTGTATCCATTTTCATGTAGTCTCTCTGGAGACATGTAATAAAGCGTACCAACTAAAGAATGCGCAGCTGTGGTTTTTGAGCTGAAAAACTGGCCAAGCCCAAGATCTCCAAGTTTTACCACCCCAGTGGCTGTAATGAACACATTGGCTGGTTCATTCTCTATGCATGACTCTTTGAGAATGCATGTGTTCCAATGCACTGCAAAGCTGAACAAAGTATTTCCAGAGAGTTCTTTCAGGAATTAGCTTCTTTTGCTTCTTAAAATGCTTTATCATTCTGGATAGGTCACCAAGATCTGCCAGTTCCAACACTATGTTTAGTTCATTATCTTCAATGAATGAGGAGTAATATTTTATTACATTTGCTTAAGAAGATCTATTTCTTTGATGCAATCAGCATGTGCTTTGGCATCCATTAAATCAAATATCTGTACTTTTTTTTAAAGGTACTTGTACTCCATCCAAGAGACAGGTTGCTCTATAAACTTCACTAAATTGTCCACGACCAATTTTCTTTTCTATTCGAAAGTTGGCTAATGTGTTATAGCCCATATCCGGTTGTAAGGCATTCTGTGGTTGGAACTGAGGAACTCCTGGCCCTTGCATTCCTTAACTCGTAATTGTACGCTATAGTATAAGCCTAAGTTTTTATTCATAGGTGTTATTGAAGTTCTGATTGGTCCCCTTAAGAATTTTTTTATATTATTCTTCAAATTACTTTCTTATTAATATTGTATGTGCATTTTATCCATTATTGTTTCATACTTTCTGAGAGCTTAATGCCCTTTTAAAAGATATTTAGTATACCAACACTTTGCTGGATTGAAAACATTTTTTTAAACTTATAAAAATTTGGGCCACCCTGTGTGCATGTGTTTGGTCTTGTTGAAGAGGAAGAGAGGATGTGTGTTGTACTGTTCCTGTGAATGTTGATACAGTTTCAATTCATTTGACAAGGTTGTAATTCTAGAATATGTGTAATAAAATGAAAACTGGCCATTACTACAGCCAAAATTGTTATGAGATTAACATTTCTAATGTTCACGAAGATGACTGAGATGGTAACACTTCCTGTGGCTTAAGGAAATGGGCAGAGTTTAGTAAATGCCTTTGTGCAGATGTGCTTTCCCTGAATGCTTTCATATTAGTGGCCACCAGCTCCCCATAGAATTGTGAAGCCCAAAGGCGAAGAGGCAGTCACTGTTAAAGGACTCCGTGCCACCATACAACCTTAGGATAAATTATCCTGCCAACGTGAAAACTTCATGTTCAAAGAACACTTCCCTTTAGCCATTGTTTTTCATATGTGTTTTTCATACACTCATTTGAATGCTTTCAAGCTATTTGTAAACTTAAAAAATGTATAAAGGGCAAGAAGTATAAACTCTTGTTTTTTGAAATCTAATCAGTTATGTATGGTTTCTGAAGGGTAATTTTATTTTGGAATAGGTAAAGGAAATCTGTTTGGTTTTTTTTTTTTCATGAGGGCTAGATGCATTGTTTTTCTCACAGTCTTGTGACTTTTAACATTTATACTGAGCATCCACAGATATATTCCTAGAAGTATGAGAAGAATTATTCTTGTTGACCATTAATGTCATGTTCATTTTAATGTAATATAATTGAGATGAAATGTTTCATGGTTCGAACAGATACTCACTTTTTTTCTTGCAATCTTTAAGAATATGTGGATCTAAAATTTATTAGCATGACCCCTCAAAGTGACTTTTAAGTAAAGATTTAAACTTTTCTTCTCGGTGAATCTATCTGCTAGAAGGAAATAGCTGGGGAGAATTTGATGATCAGGGAAATTCATTATTTCTACATGTGGAAGCTTTTTGCTTTGAATATTATATCTTTTTAATCTAAATGTTCATATTTTTTCCAAAGAAACCACTGTGTAAAAATCAAATTCTAATTTTGAATAGGATAATTTCAAAGAATTATGAAGATGATTTGAAGCTTAATTTATATAGTCACCTATAAAATGTACTTTATATGTGTTCATAAATATATTGGTTAAGTTAAACATTTATGAGGAGCAGTGAAATGAAAGCTATATGGACTCTAAACCTTACTTAGACATTGGTACCAGTTACTCCGGTGAAAATATGGAGTAACTTTGTTGTGCATGATAAGATTTAGGAATGGTGGTTGAAGGGTATCTCTGTATAAATAAAGTGCTCAATAATGTGCAATGATTGTAAATTTAGTAAGATATTAGAGCCATTTCATGAATGCTTTACCATTCTACACAGTATCTATTACAAAACACCTTTCTTGTATCCATGTACTTCAGGTGTTGCTGTTAACATTTACTATGATATTTATTTTAACCAAAATGGTATTCACATTAAATGTTTATTCTTTAAAATGAATGTATTGTGTTTATAACCCACAAATGCATACTTACGCTGTGCCTCATATTTCAATATACTGTAATATGGACATCTTTTTGTGAAACACTTTTATTTTGTTATTCTTTAAGTATACATGCAAAAAGATTGTTATTAGTTTGAAAATTGTACAATATCCTATTATAAACAAAAACATAAAAATAAAAATGAATACAGTAAAAAAAAGTGCAAGGAACCTTTTGACATATGGATCAATGAAACTGGAGGACATAGCATCTCTATTTCAGGCTACAGTGAGGATTTCTTGGTGGAGAGAGCATTCTGAATCCTTTCCTGCAATATTGAATATTATGCTATGATATTGTTAAGCCTAGTCACCCTATACTGTGCCATAGAACACCAGAGTACCTGCATCTCATCTGAGCATCACCTTGTAGCCATTTCCAATCCTCCCTCCAGCCACTGACATGGCTACTCTATGAGATTCACTTTGTTAAATTCCACATGTATGAGATCGTGAAGTCTTGTGTTTCTCTTCCTCTGCCTTGCTTATTTCCTTTAACTTAATGCCCTCTAGGTTTCTCCACCTCGCTGATACTGAACTGATATCCAGAAGTTTGATGGCTGAGGAGTACACCGTTGTGCATATATCCTTTAATCCCTGCATTTTTTTCATTGGTGGAAAGACAGGTAGGTTGATTTCAGAGTACTTCATAAAACATAGGAAGGCAGACATCTCCTTAAGGTCCAGGTTTCCTTGGTTTTGCAGGAATACCCAGTGTTGAGATGGCTAGAGGAACTGGTAGTTTTGTTGTTGTTTCAGAAACCTCCTGCTGTCTCTCCCAGTGGGTATACAAATTTGCATTCTCACTGGAAGTATGTAAGAGCTCCTCTCTCTGCAAATCTACACTGTCATTATCTTCAAAAAGGTTTATTACTGTTTCTGGTCACACACACATTCTCTGGGGAGTTTGACAGTATCTGAGTGTGGTTGGGATTTACATTTAGGGCATGATTACTGATATGGAGAAACTTTTCTATTATCTGAGAGTCTGTTTATGTCTTTTCAGAAATGTCTGTGACAGTCCTTTGGGCATTTTTAGCGTGTGTATTAGTTTTTGTGTTTTTGTCCACTTAGGCCCATTAGTTTCTTGAATATGTTAGATAAGAAGCCCTTGCAGATCCACAGTTTCCATAATTTTCTCCCAGTCTGTAGGATACCTTTTATTTGGGTTTACTATTTTCTCTCCTGTGTTCAAGCTGTGTGAAGCTCTGAAGATGTCCTTAGGCTCACATGGTTACATTAACCTTTGTTAGCATTGATTTCTGTGTCCCTTTGAGAAGAAAAGTGAGATGGTAAAGCCATTGTATGGTCTACGGGTATTTGGTTTCTATGTCTTCCTTTGCTGCTTGTAGCATAGGTGAACAGATTTGAGTTTCCCCACAATAGACATGCACCCTAATGTGTTTTCTTTGGAGGTTTTGGTTTTAGGATTGCATTTAGGTGTTCAGTAGAATTTGTGTCCCTTTTTGTGTCTTGTGCAAAGGAAAAGTTTATTTCAGTCCTTTGCACATTACAAGTTTTCTCAACCATTCTGCCTTTGGTGTGCTTTTGGGGGAAAAACAAGCAGCCCCACATGTTCACTGTATATAAATTTGTGTTGATTTTCTGGCTCCTGTGTTGTGTCAATTCAGTTATCTTTCTGCACTGATGCTACTGGGAAAATGAATTGGGCCACTATAGGCTTTTTGTTTTGTTTTGTATGTTTTTCTTGTATTTTCTTTATTTTTTCTGCTTTTATGTCCAAAGATGGGTTTTCTAAAATGACGGCTACTTTTATTGTGATCAAGGGGTATGCCTGCAGGTTAACTCCACTAAATGGCTATGCAGCAGAATTTTGAGGCTGGGAGTCCTAATGCACCCATTACCCATGCAGTAAACACAGCAGCAGTTGGGTCATTCTTCCTCCAAGGCTCCCTGTCTCCCTCCTTTTTCTTTCTGGCAGTACTCAGCATCTGTTAATATCATCTTTATGTTTGTGTGTATTCAGTATTAAGCTTCCACTTATAAGTGAGAACCTGTGGTGTTTGGTCTTCTGTTCTTGCCTCAGTGGCTTAGCAGAATGGCCTCCAGTTCCACCCATGTTCCTACCAAGGGCATGATTTTGTTTCTGTGATTGATTTTCCTCAGTGGCTTTTTAGCATTCTGTGGTGTAGTACTACATTTTAAAAAATCTAATTTTCAGCCAGGCTCAGTGGCTTAATGCCTGTAATCCCAGCACTTTGGGAAGCCAAGGCAGGTGGATGACAAGGTCAAGAGATCGAGACTATCCTGGCCAACATGGTGAAACCCCATCTCTACTAAAAAAATACAATAATAAGCCAGGTGTTTGGCACATGCCTGTAGTCTCAGCTATTCAGGAGGCTGAGGCAGAAGAATCACTTGAAAACGGGAGGTGGAGGTTGTAGTCAGCGGAGACTGTGCCACTGTGTTCCAGCCTGGCGACAGAGCAAGATGCCATAAAAAAAAATCGAATTTTCTGTTGGTGGGCATCTAGATCAGTTTCACATCTTTATTCCTGTGAATAGCATTCCCAAGAACATGCAAGTTCTTTTTGAGAGACGCATGTATTTTTTCCTTGGGTAGATACACAGGGTGGGATTGATGAGTCAAAACATAGCCCTGTTTTCCATCCCTTATTTTTCCTTTTATTTGAGAAATCTTCAAACTGTTTTCCACAGTATGAGAGCTAGTTTTCATTACCACCAACAGCATAGCCATGTTTGCTTTTGTTTGCTGCCATGCCAACTTATTATGAGTTTGGACAAATGGCCCTTTTGACTGGTGTGTGATGGCACTGGTACCTCTTCTCTGTTGGTTAGTGATGTTGAGCATTTTCCCATGTCTGTTGGCATAGCAATCCCTTGGAAATGTCTTCTCAGTTACTACCCACGTGTATGTTTCAGGCCACTGTGCAGCCCTAGCACTGTTGGTTTGCATCGGGACTTGAGAATTGTTTGTCATTGTTACCCAGCATAAATGTTACTTTGCTCTTCATATAGTAAGTAGTAAGAGTGACATGTGGGGACATATTCTTATGCAGACAGTTCCATCAGAAATCCCACTGCCTTAAGAGAGCCTCACGGAAACCCAGTCCTAGCCTTGCAATACCATGTAGCCCTGTGGCACTTTGACATTGGGTGTGTCTGCATTGTTGAAGTAATTCAGCACTTTGCCATGCATTTATC